CAAGGACCATCTTTTATTTTTCTTTGTATCTCTTGTGCTTAGTACAGTAGCTGGCACATAGTAGGTGCTTTATTTTTCTTTGCATCTCGCTGCTTTGTACAGTAGTTGGCACATAGTAGGTGCTTAATAAATGTTTATTGCCTGCCTGCCTACTGTTGCCTGTAACAGCATGACCCAATGGAGGGTATACAGGCTTTGAATGGGAGGACCTAGGTTTAAAACCTGACTCATGGACATTTATTGGACACAGAAATAAAAAGTAAAAAATCCCTTCTTTCATAGAGCTTACATTCTAACAGAGGTGACAGCATATACAAGAAATAAAGTAGATCTAATAACTTTGGAGGGAAAGCCAGTTAGAGCTACTGGGACCAATAGAATGTGAGGTCCTAGAGGAGAAGGGTTGTTTGAACCTTTCTTTGGACCCCCCAGAACTTAGCATATAGTAAGTGCTTAACAAATGCTTATTGATTTGACTCCAAGAAAGAGCTCCTGCAGAATGTGGTGTTGGGGCTGAGTCTCGAAGGAAGACAGAGACTCTGTGAGGTCGAGGTGAGGAGGAAGAGCATTCCAGACACAGGGCACAACCAGTGCAAACATACACAGGTAGGACATGGAGCACTGTGTGTGAGGAAGAATACAGAGACCAATATGGCTAGATTTTAGTGTGTGTGGAGGGGAGTAATATGTAAGAAAACTGAAATATAGAAAAGGTTCAGGTTTTGAGGTCATTTAAATGCCCAACTGAGAACATTTTCGATCTTAAAAGTAATGGAGAACCACCAAAATTTATTAAGTGTATGTATGGGGAAGTAACATGGTCAGACCTACGTTTTAGGAAAATCACTTTGGCAATCTATTACTTAACCTCTCTGACGTTATCTGTAAAATGACAGGGGTCAATTAGATGATGTCTAAGGTCCCTTCCAGTGCAGCACCGTACGAGACGCTGGGGACACAAAAACAAATAAAAAAATGGTCCCTCCCCTTCAGGAGCTTACATTCTACTGGAAATGAGTTACTTCACCCCACATGCAATTGTAACCCCACTTATCCACACAAGAGACTTCCACTATCTCAAGTCTCCATTTCAAACTGTTTCAGGAATGTTGTACCTGTCAAGAAAATAAGGGAGTAACGGTAAGTAGCTCCTCTAGAGAATAAGGCAGAAACCGGCTACAACCCTAGAAACTATTTAAACACTTTGTAAAGGCTTTCGAGGGGACGATGAACAGGAACAAGGGTTTGACATAAGGAGAAAATCACTGTCAATGCAGTGTACACAGGTGAACACGTCTGCTATGAGGACACACATTGTCCATTACTGGTAGGAACATTCCCCGCCCCCAACCTCACTTTCCCATTTTAGTGGCCAATTCATATTAGGATTTTATATTGATAAGAAGGTGGAAGGGGGGGAAATGAGGGAAGAGGAGAGAGAGAAGAGAGAGGAGAGAGAGGAGGGAGAGGGAGAGAGAAAATATTCTTGGCATCATTTTAATAAGACAAAAACCAAAAGTAATGCTAATAGAAGACGATTATTCTATTAACCTGGGAATCACTTCCTTGCAAATGTATCAGTAGAAAGAAATGTTAAAACGCAGTTCCTGATTTCAAGAACTAAAACAGTGACTGGATAAAGCAATGGGAAAAAATTTTTCTGTTAGAATAATTCTGTGCCAGTTCTGGGGAAATGAGTGAAAGGGAATTTTTTCCCTTCAGATCTGACTCATTATAAAGCTTGTAAAATATATACAATTCACATCCACAACTCCTATGAACGAGGCCTGTGAATAACTCCTGGAGCTGCCCTTCTAGTCTTCATCTGAACTAACCTTTCAAGATACCCATCTGGAGCAACTTTTGATCAAATGGGTAAAGCTTCAGAATTTGGGAGTGCCGGCATCAGAGGGTCTTAGATATAGAGCTGGGATGGACCTGAGAAGTCAAAATCAAATTTTACAGAAGACCAGAAAAATGAAATGATTTGTCTAAGATCACACGGGAAGTAAGGGGGAGAGTCAAGACTTGAATTCTTGTCCTCTGACTCCAGTTCAGGGCTTTCTTCACTCTATTATGTTGCGGTGGCTTCCAGTTTAGTCAGCTCTCTTGACCTTAGCCCCATATGACTAGTTTTGCCCTAAAAAAAAAACCTTATATAAATGCCTTAGGGGTATAAACTATCTTACTTTTAATAACAATAATAATTAATAATTAAAGGCAGCTAGGTGGCACAATGAATAGAGTGCCAGGTCTGGAGTCAGAAAGACCTGAGTTCAAATCTAGCCTCAGATACTTGCTAGTTATGTGACCCTAGGCAAGTCACTTTAACCTCTGTTTGCCTCAGTTTCCTCATCTGTAAAATGGGGATTATAATAGTACCTGCCTCCCAAGGTCATTGTAAGGATCAGATGAGAAAGTACATGTTAGCTATCATTATTATTATAATTAGAGCTTAGCAGAATCTGACATATAAGTAAGTAATAGGTTTGTTGTTCAGTTGTTTCAGTCACGTCCAACTCTTTGTGACCCAATCTGGAGTTTTCTTGGCAAAGATACTGGAGTGGCTTGCCATTTCCTTCTCCAGCTCATTTGACAGATGAGGAACTGAGGCAAACATGGTTAAGTGACTTGCCCAGGGTCACACAGCTAGTAAGTGTCTGAGGCTGGATTTGAACTCAGAGAGATGAGTCTTCCTGACTCCAGGCCCAATGCTCTATCCACTAGCTGCCCCAATAACTAATAATAGCTAGCTAGCATTTATATAGTGGTTTAAGGTTTGCAAAACGCTTTACATATGTTAACTTATTTGATTACTTTATTCTGGGGTCTTTGGGGGATAGTACATAGTAGGCCCTTAAGAAATGCTTGTCAATCAATAAACCTGATTCAGTGAAGAGAATGAGGTTGACGTTGAAGCAGGAGAAAAGAGCTATAAGACAGAGTAAAGGAGACTGTGTGTAATTCTACCCCCTTTGGTCCTTGCGAGTCTTGAAAATCTAATGTGACAAACTCACTGGGCTCCTGGATGTTCCAGGAGGCCTAGACCCAGACTTGCCTGTTGTCAAGAGACCAACAGATTGGGCTCCAACTGTCATGACAGCTACCTGTCGGGAAGCCTTGGAGTCCGGAAATCTTGAGTTTAAATCCTGCTTAAGATGCGTATTAGCTGTGTGACTCTGGGAAAGGCACTCCCAGCCTTAGTTTGTACACTATGGGGATTGGATTCAGTAGGTTCTAATAAGTCTACACTCCTTTATACCGAGTGCCCTAGAATTATAAACCTGTAGTCCTATTCTCCCATTTTATGAATTAGGGAAGTGAGACCCCAACAGATCAAGTGCCTCCTCTAAGGTCAAACAGCAACAGAATTAGGCCTCTTAACCCTTACACCAATAGTGTACCCCTTCACCTTGGTAGTCTGGGGCTTCACCAAAGTTCCAAGTTTGATTAACATACTAACTTGAAGCTGTATTTAAAACGTTTTGGAGGCAGATTCCAGTTCTTCGGGTCTTATTTTGATGGGGGAAGTGGGTCAGGAAGCCGCTTTGAGTTTATTGGCAAAGACATAGGTGGAGTGAACTTTGCAGTATACTGAGCTGGAGAAGCAGAGGCCAATGGGGCAGAGCCATTAGTAATAGTCTCTGTTGCTACCTACCACAAAATACTACTATGAGTTTGGGCTAGGAAGGGAGATACCTAAACCATCAGGTAATAGGATCATAGATTTAAAGCTAAGAAGAACCTCAAAGATCTAGTTCAGCCTCCTTGATTTTACAGTTAAGAAAACTCAACAGAAAGGAGTGACTTGCCCAAGGTCACATAGGTAATAAGTAGCAAGGACAGAATTCAAACCCAGGACTGAAATCTGACTACAAATTCAATGCCCTTTCCACTGTACCATATTGTTTCTTTAGTAGGGATTAATTTACGGGAAGAATAAAAGGAATGGGAATCAGAATAGGAATGGGAGAGGAAGGAAAGTCACGTTAACACAACATTTGTCTTTGATAGACTTTAATCCATTTCAAAATCCACAAATGGCAAAACCATCTCAGCCTTGGCATATGTGCTCTTTTGGAACATGTCAACCAACTCCTACTAAGAAGGCAAAGTGATATAGGGGAAGGAATGACACAATTGGAGTCGGTGGACTTGGGTTTGAATCTTGGCCTTTGCTACTTACTAGTTCACTAACTAATTGCCCCTCTCTGGATCTCAGTTTCTTCATCTGTAAAATGAAGGTGCTGCGCTAGATGGCCTGAGGTTGCTTGTAGCCCTAAAGCTTATGGTCGTATTACTGGATTCCACTCACACCAATAAAATGAGTGTGGTTTCCTACTGAGAGATAAAGAATATGAGGGAGACGATCAGATGACTTGTGGAGGGAGTCTAGCAAAGTCTAGAGGGTCATGGTGGCCACTCACTCTTTACAACTGCTACTTCCAGGCTGGGAGGGAGGAGCACCTCTCTTGAACTTTCTGGGGTGAGGGAAAGAGGGGTGGTATTGTTGGGCATCCCTGAAATCTCCCTCCATTCCAGTCCATGACTGAAACGGGCTGAATTCCAGACAGACATGTTAGTTCCCACGGGCTCACGAGTCCCCAGACTCTGCTCTAGCCATGACCAGGTCAGGGAACACATGTGCTCATTTCCTTGGTTGCAAATTGGAAGAACAATAGTTCCCACTTTCATCCTGTAGATCAGTCAGGCACCTAAGAGGTAACATGACCAGGAGACAAGGGGGCATACCAAACAGAACTGCCTCATACCCAAAGACTTTCTTTAAATGGGAAGTTTCTTTCTACCCTTCCTTTCTGTGTGGCATCAGGACACATCAGCTTCACCGAGGCCTATTAAATTTACATGCTTTTCTATCCTTGAGAACAATCTAAAATGTTGTCAGGGTTTGCCAAATCAAGAGAACCACGGACACACAGCATTCATCCTGCCATTGGAGGGGAAAGAAAAAGCCCAATAAATACCAAGCTCTTAATCCATTTTGACTTTAAATTAAACTTTCTTTAATGAAATTAGAAAAAAAAGAACCAGACTGTGTATTGCATATTATTTGTGATCACAGTATAAAACACAATATAATCAGTTCAAATGACACTGAATATGGACAAAAATACGCAAACCATTTGTCTAAGCAAGTTTTTGTAGATTTGTGAGCTGGTGTTTCCGGTCCTTGTTTCTTGTGCAGGAAAAAGCCAATACTTTCTCCCCAAGTGATGTGCATGCCGGGTGTGTCATTAGGAACCTGGTGGATCGGAGGAAGAAGAATGCACTTACCCGGGCCCTGGTTCCCTTCTTCCTCTGTTGTCAGTTGCAAAGCTAAAAAATAGTTCAGATTTTTCTGCGAGTAGCAAGTTGTATATTGCTTATTGTCCCTGCCGGGAAGGCTCAGTCTCTGGGTCACTGACTTCAGTGACAAAAAATGGCTGCCAACAGTCTGTAGAACAAAACGCAGAAGGGAAAGTAGACAGAAGGGTCTTGATACCAGGGGTCTTCCTGTGCTGGGACTTCAGGGGAATACTGGGAGAGTGGGGAGAACGGAAAACACTAAGAAATATTTTAATGTGATAGATGCGTCTCTGCATTTTCACTGTCCCAAGAGACTTTCTTTATGGTGTCAGTTTGTGTTTCTAAAAAACAACAATAACAACAACAACTTCAGTATGTCTATAAATTTTGGTTATTTAAGATTCACTCGTGTGAATAAGCCCTAGATTGTTTCTAGGGAATATGTTTATGACCATCATGTTGCTCAAATAAACAAACATAAGTGGCGAATTGTCAGCGTCAGGGGTTCTAGGACCCCTGGTCATTCCAACTGCTATGGATGGCAGGAACCTCTCCACTGGGAGCCCTACATGGTATCCCAAGAGGGCCCTCACCAACACATTTCACACTAAAGAAAGAGAGAGAGGATGGATAGAGAGACAGACGAATGATCAGCGAAGTTTGTTTTCCAAGTTGATGCAAGGTTTTTTTGGCATGGTGTCCTGGGTCTACCTCTCTCGCAAAAGCTATGGAAGTAGACATTTTGGGGCAGCTCTTAACATTACAATATCAGCTCCGACCAGCAGCATCAGCTTGTAAAGGAAAAGGCACAGGGCACAATTCCCCACAAAGCTTCGCTAATGCTAGTGGCATTGGCCAAACCAACCCATTACATAGTGCTCAACCCTACTAGGGCAGCAAGGTTCCCCTCCCTCTTTGCCTCCCCCCACCCTCAACAATAGCTGGGCGCCCTTCTCTACTAATAAGAAAGGCCTGAGTCATGAAAACCCTGAGTTTTCTCTCAGCAAAATGGTAGACCCCAAAGTGCTCAGAGTGTGCTGGCTATTAACTAGTAAAAGTCCCAATGCCAACTTCTTGATTCTAGAATTGCTGCCTTTAGAAAAGCCTGATACCTCTCTCCATGGGAAAATACCGTAAAGAAATGGTGTCTGTTTTAGTGTTAGCATGGGGGCTGGGGCAGGAGGGGTGGGGAAGGGGAGGACAAAAACTTAATGCTGTTAAAATCCTATAGTTTCTCCCTTTGGTGGCCAGCCCTACTCCATAAAGGGCATAAATGTGGGGGCCCTTTCCATTCAAAGACATGCAGACCTGGAATGCCAGGACCTGCTCCTGTCCTAAGGGAGCATTCTTGCCCTGGGCACTAAAGACTCTCACAGCCCAGAGAGAACACTCCCTCATCGCATGAGCAACCCTCTCTATTAGCAGAACAGAGGGAAATCAATGTGGAAGCCCACGTGATCATGGAAACTGTAATTGGTGAGAATAGGTGGGGATAAGAAGCTGGGGGAGGGGGAAAAGGGAAGGGTTCATCCTGCCAATTATGAGGAAACGGAAGTACATGAATGCTCTTCTTTGGGACCTGACTTTATTGCTCAAAACAATTTCTTCTCCTCCAACTCCCCCACCCCCCTTTTCCTTGGAAGACAGCACTGTGACTGCTCCTTCAGAGCGAGAATGAAAGCAAAGCAGACAGAAATCTAGGCCATGAGTCATCAATGGGCTTCAGAAAACCCCACTGGGATGCTTCAGAAAGGCCACGCCGAGTCTGAGACACTTTAGAAAGCAGGAGAGTGCTGGAGGAAATCTTTTTTAAAAGCAGGGGGGGAAAAAAGCCTCAGGACAAATAATATTTCTTTCTCTCTGCTCTGACCCACTGTCCCAGCCCTGACTGACACAGTCAAGGAAAAGAAACCGGTATTCATTCAGCGGGCTGTTTATGTGAGAATAAATAGATGGGTTTCATTCCTCTTCCTAACCATACCCTCTCCCCTTAACACCCTGTTGAGCTTCCTGAAAAAGACCTGATGGATGAAGAAGGCCATGGAAAAGAATGGCTTTTCTGCCTTGTTTCTGATTCCTTTCAGGTAAGACAGTCTTGCAAAACTATTCACTTTCCTGACTAGGGAGTCAAAGCAGCAAGACTGGAATGTTAGGTTTCTGCAGGTGCTCCCAAGGGGCCCACTGGAGCTGCTGCCAAAGTGACTGCCTGGCGGGCGGGAGAGAGGCAGTGGCGGATTCTTCTGCATGCCAACATGGGCCCTTGTCATATCTCTGTCACTCCTGCCCTGAGCTGTATAAGGTCAGCCTCGGAGGCCTGCCTCCCCAGCTCATCCAATTGCTTGCTCGAGGGAAAGGAATACTCAGAGCTGCCTCTGCTAAAAATTGGCATCCCACTCCCTTCCTCATTTCTTCACAGGTCTACCTATTGCCACTAGTGGGGGGGGTGTTGCTGGATTTTTACTTAGCTTACATTTTAAGGCTGAGGTGGCAAGGTAAGGTGTTCGGTGGGGTGTCAGGTTCTAGGATGGCCAACAGTCTAACACTGAATGAACAGAGAGGGAAGAAAGAAGCAAAAATGCCTTTCGATTCCATAGGAAACTAAGTTTCCATGTAAAGTGTAGCATAAGCCCCTGAAAATAGGGGGATGATGATAAAAGCCACAAACTGGCTTTTAGCAACAGCGCCATGCTGTCTCCGAGCTGTACTAGAACATCTCATTCAGGAGATCTTAGCAACAGTGCCTCCAAGTCGAGAGCGACCTATTGGAGTGAGCAAGTGAATATTCATCCAAGACAAAGGTCTCTAAATTCTGCCACCCCACTTCTCTCCACAACCCCCTCTCAATAGATAAAAAAACAGAACATAGAGTTTATAAGAGGTTCTAAAAACTGGTTCAGAGGGAAAAAAAAATCAGACAAAGTTCGCTGCTTAAAAAGCCCCACTTGGGAAAACATACACCCTACAAAACAACTGATATATCCAGAACAGAGCGTCCCTTTAGAAAGTGCCCTTGGAAGAGTCAGTACTGGTAAACATGTCCCGTGCTCTTGGTTCTTAACATGCAGAAAAGAGAGAGCTGGAAGTCCCACCTGAGATTAGAGAGGACTTTTCTTTTGCTAGTGTAAAACACTTCACTCTAAAATGTCACTGTCCTCTTCTCACCCATCTCTCTCCCACAAAGACAGTCCATCTTTCCCAGGCACGCGCCTAGTCCATTTCCATTGACATGAGGCGCCTTCGCTCTCTTCTTGTTTCCTGGACCTCCTTCTTACAGCACCAGTGAGAGCTGCAGTAGCCTATGAGGCAGGAGATGAGTCCAATAACCGTGGAGAGGCTGATGCCGATTAGCAGGGGATACTTGAAGGCATTCAGAACTGTGTGGAAGAGGAAGAACAAGGCTAATGAAGCAAACTGAGCCAGTTCTGATCTTGATGACAACAATTCATGCAGTAAAAATGGGTGAATATTTGACTTGCTTTTGATTAGCCCAATGTTTCTCTCCCAAATTCAATTTGATTCAATCCAAACATTTATTGAGGACCTATCTACTATCTTAAAAAGTTCTATGAATACGGGTGCCAATGTTTTTGTCTTATGTGTAGATGAGGAAAGAGGTAAGGGTTTTTCCTCCGTCACCTAAGGGTAAGGAAAATAGGTTAAGAGCTCACAGCAGGATCTAGGCCTATGTTCCCTTCACCTAACTAATGCTGCCTATTCCCTCCTCTCAAGTTAGGAGTAGGAGGTAAAAACAAACAAAAACAAAACTCATTTGGCCATCTCTACCATTTTTTTTTTTAGGGAGAGTGGGGAGCTATGAGGATGCCTCATGAGAGGCAGTGAGTATGCAGTCCCAGAGTCAGGAAGACCTGAGTTCAAGTTCTGTCTTTGATTTTCAGTCAATTCTGGCTGTATGACCTTGGGCAATATGCTAAACTACTCTGTGCCCATGGCAACTGTCTAAGATTATAAAGCATGGACGAGATGGCACTCTATACTGGAAATGGTTTCTTCACTGGGAGTCCACTGTGCTGAAGAAATCATATACCAGGTCCCCCCCAAAAAATGGTTACCTTACTTTTATTATCAGTATATGTGTTCCCCAAATTTGCGAAGAAACCAAATGTTTCTAAGGCAAACGTCATCAAGGCTGGCAATTTAATGGGAAATGCTACGGTGAATCCTTTCGCAAAGTGAATCATCACTTTCTTAATACTCTCTATAAAGCTCCATTTTCATGAATGGAGTTACTTAAAGCACTTTACACCAATACTCACGCATGGAGGTAAAACATCACTAAAGTCCCGTAAACTCAACAACGACTACACAAAAGTGAAACCTGGCCTTCCCACCCGCCCACACACTGACAGTCCTGCAGGCTGGCAGAAAGGAAACGGGTGGTCAGTCTTTAGTCTAGCATTGACTTCAAGAGGTAACCGATGTGAAAAGGGTGAGTGGCCAATGTCACGTTGAGTCCAATGGGGGAGTTGGTCCAGGGTGGGTCTCTCTACATAGTGGCCTTATCTAGAAAAAGGACATCTTTTCCTTATTTGTGTTTGACTAGGCTGAAAGATCCATCAGGGCAGGGAACACTTGAACTTTGTGTCTCCCTCCCTTAGGGCCTAGCTCCACAATCTCCACACAGTAGGAACCTGATAAAATCTGTTTAATTAAATAGTTCCTTCCCCCTTCCCATTACATCTGGGAAAAAATCCAAGTTAAGACTAGGAGGAAGCAAATAGGGCATTTACACAGGAGTTCAAAGGGCATGAAGATATCATCATCTTTCTAATAGGTCTAAACCAGGTAGAATCCATAGGCTTTTGCTGCTTATTTCTTCTGTAATTAGATTTAAGCCTATGTCAAAATTCTTAGATTCTTAACCTGGGGTCCACAGACCCCCATGAACAAATTTCAGGGCAACCTTGAATTTGTTTTTTTTTAAATACATTTTAATAGCCATATTTTGGCATGATTGGTTTCCTTCGTAATCCTACATATTTTATTTTATACATGGAAATAAACAAAAACAGTATACTTAGAAAGCTTCCAGAGACTTCACCAGACTGTTGAAGGGGTCTATAAATCCAAAAAGGTTCAATCATTCTTGTTCTAGATCAAAAACAATATTCACTGGGACAATTTTTTTTTTTTACACTGGGTAGTCCCTTGCTGTTGGTTACAACAAAGCAGACTGAGGGCACTTCACAAACACTGAGAAAAGCGAGCACACAGGTCCATACCATCCATCTTCACAGTTACAAAGATGGGCTTGGATTTGATCTCTGTCTCTCGCTGCCAGGACCCTGTGGTTGATTTGATCCATGGTATCACAGTACAAAAGTAGTTGCCAAAATCTTGGTCCTCAGAGCCATGAACCTGTAGGAGGAACTCCATCACACTGATTTTCTCCAGGCTAAGGTCACTCTTCCAGGTTCTCCGGGCCTTGTTTACAACACCTTTCCGATCCAATGAAGACAGAAGGACAGCAGGTTTATCCAAAGCAAAGGAATGGACGGCAAACCAGGATACATCAAAGGACATGTCATCTAGAGCAGGCAATCAAATGAGAGAGAGTAGTCAGTGCAGCGTATGAATCAGGGTCCCTCTACTCAACCCTGAAAAATAACAGAGGAAGAAAATTACCATGCTATAGGAATGCTCCTATGATGAGCGCAGAATGTAAAAGCGGTCTGTGGCAGATCATTTTCTAAACACCTCAGTAAACTGGACCCTACAAATAGCGAAGTCAGATGGCACGGCAGTGGACAGAGCACTGGACTCGTAGTCAGAAAGAGCTAAATTCAAATTCTTCCTCAGACACTTACTAGCTGGGTAAACCTGGGAAAGCCACTGAATCTTGCTCAGCTCAGTTTCCCTGTCTGTAAAATAGGCATAATGATAGCACCTACTCATCAAATGAGATGATACACATAAAGCACTTTAAAAAGTTGGGAGCACTATATAAATTTTAGCCACTAAGTGGGTTAAAAGCCCACCACTCACTCATACTTTCCTATACTTCTTAATGGGAAACTATGTAATGTCCTTTTCAAATGACAAGTAGGGATAAAAGAGAGATAGACAGAGAGACAAAAAGAGACAGACAGAGACAGAGAGGGAGAGAGTGACACAGAGACAGAGAGAAAGAGAGACAGAGACAGAGAGACCTAGAGAGAGAGAAGGCCCACTGGATAGTTCTGAATGTCAAACTTCTTCAAGTTTGGAGAGTTGCATTGTTTTCAAAGTCAAAACAAGGGCACCTCTGAAACATCAGGCTAAAGAACACAGCTAAATACACATTGATTCCAATGATGTAAAATGTTTGCTTGAACATGGAAAAAGATAGGAAGAGAATCCTGAGAAATGGGAACAGTTTAGAATTCAATGGCCATGTGTGCCTTTTTTTATTCTGGAAAAGTGCTTAAGTTTATAATATTTAATAATAAATTTTTTAAGTCAGACCAAGGAAATTGGGGATGGACAAACAGCCCCAGAGAGTCATGTTGCTGAATTGTAAAGTACTTTGCAAAATTAAAGTTCTAACAGAAGCAAACAAATTAGCATGGGCCTAAGAGAAATAAAGTCTTTGGGACAAGTAATAATTCTTAGACAATTTGGAAGCGCAGCCAGCAAGCAGTGAGTGGAATGAGGCCTCAGCCTCTTCAGGTTAAAGGTGTTGCTGCCATCAGGGGGAACTCAGCCAGAAGCTTTGTGAAGGATTCTGGCCAGGCCAATGGATTTCTTTAAAGTATACGCCACAAAGTCGTTTTTCTAAACAGTAGAAATTAATATATTCATTATTAATTTAGCAAAATACACTAAGGGCAACAGAAAAGGCAATGTACCAATCTTGATGTTTTTAAGATATATATTAAACAAATACAGGGGTAACACAAAAAACAACTTTTTCTAATACGAGATTCTCTAGATGGTCCCCTTTACAACTTATGCTGAGGTAGAGTGTTGGACTTAGAGTCAAGATGACCTGAGCTTGAATCCTACCTCAGATAATTACTATCTATACGTGACCTGTCCCTTTCTTTACCTCGTTTGCTCTCAGTTTCCTCATCTGTAAAATGGGGATAATAGCAGCATCTATTTCACAGTTGTGAAGATCAAGTGATAACATACTTAATGTTAGTTATTATTCTTACTTAAAAGTAACATAAAAATATACCCTCCACTGACATGAGGAATGTTATCTTTGAGGTAGGGATAGATAGCACATTTTTTCCCCATTTTCAATGCTGAGAGGCTTTGGTACTAGCCTTATCTATGCCACAGGACCACATAACAAAAAGAATTCCTTAAAAGCCATAGGATGCTTGGAGGAAATCTAATCACAATTTGTCTTTAATTAGTTGGACTCTTCCACCCACATACAAACCAAAAGGGGAGATAAAACTGAGGCAATAGGGGTTAAGTGACTTGTCCAGGGTCACACAGCTAGTAAATGTCAAGTGTCTGAGGCCGGATTTGAACTCAGGTCCTCTTGACTCCGAGGCCGGAGCTCTATCCACTGCGCCACCTAGATGCCCCAGAATAAAGCTTTTTATGCAAAGAGCAGAGTGTTTCATTCAGTCATAGGCCTATGGAGCCTTAGGGTTGGAAGGACCTCAGGGGTCATCTACTCTAACCCTCACCCGAGCATTTCTCTTCAGTATACCCAAGAAGAGGCTAGCCTAGCTTTGCTCAAAGACCTCAGAATTACACACAGGAAGAGCACTGAAAATATTGAGCTTGACACATTCGCTTCAGGAGCTTTGTGGGCAAAAACACTACTTCTTTGTTTTAGGAGATTTCTCCTCCCTTTTCTAGTGATGAGGACCCTAACTTGGAACCCAGCATGGATTACTAGCCTGGATCTCTCACATGCCATTAGACCAAAGGGTAAGTTTGGACAGAGGATGGAAAAGGAGGAAGATATTACGAGGGCAGGAAGGACAAGAAGGAGCCCAAATGAGATTAGATAATAACAACTCACATTTCTGTATTGTTCTAAAGTTTACAAAGCAGAGCTCACACATTTTAAGAGTTCTGACATGGGAAAAAATAATTTTCCATTGATTTATGGGTACAATGACCCATATCACTCACCATACATCTTTTCTACTCATTAGAGTTGTATCTAGACACACCAACCTGAATCAAGTCAACAAGCATTTATTAAGCACCAACTGTGTCCCAGATACTGTGCTAAGTAAGCTCTAGATTATGGTGACCTACTATAGAGGTCGGGTGAACAAAGACCTGAGTGGCCCCTTGGGTAATATGTTAAAAAAAAAAGAAAAGAAAAGAAAAAAAATCCAAGTGTCTGGCCATATTTCTACCATACCTTCCCACTCATACTACATGAATATCATTTCACCTTTCCTCTTTAAAGTATCATAATTAATTGGAAATTGGAGGTGCTTCGAGGAGGGAATTAAGAAGGAAAAGACTATGAAGGTGAATTTGGACCTGCTTCCGAAGGCTGGAGGGTCAAAGACTGTCACAGAGAAGGATGGGAAGAAAAGGGACCATGTAACCTCTGGAGTTCAGTGATACCCACTCACTATCTCAGATACTTTCTGTAGCTCAGGAGGAAGTGGCTTCTTGGCTTCATGGATTGGTGAAGTGGATTCATAGCTTCCATCAGGAAGATCAGTCTTGGCGATTCCACCATCACAACAGCTCTTCCATTTGTCCCCTCCTTTCCACTCATACTACCACCATCCTAGTTCATTTCCTCATTATCTTGACTATTAGGAAGCCAGACCTTCCTAAATGGACTCCTGGATTCCACTTTCTCCCCTTTCCAACCCATCTGCCACAAAGCTGACCAAAGAGGCTTCCTAAAGCACAAGTCAGATGCCACCCCTTTGCCCAAGAAACCTCAACAATTTCCTATTACCTCTACATTAAAGTACAAACTCCTCAGCTTGGTATTCAAAGTCTTTCACAACCGAGCTCCAACAAACCTTTCCAAGTCTGTGTTGTATTACTACCCTCCATATACTCTACATTCCACTGCAGACCCCCAAGCTGCATCTCCTACCTCTGTGTCTTTGCATATGCTCTCCCCCACTCCTGGAATATATTCCTTTCTCACTTCTACCACTCAGAATTCCTTTATTGCTGCTGTTCAGTCTTTTCAGACATGTCTGACTCTTCGGACACCATTCGGGATTTTCTTGGCAGAGAAACTGGAGTTATTTCCCATTTCCTTCTCCAATTCATTTTACAGATAAGGAAACTGAGGCAAACAGGGTTAAGTGATTTGCTCAGGGTTACACGGCGAATAAGTGTCTGAGGCTGGATTTGAACTCAGGCCTTCCTGACCCCAAGCCTGGTGCTCTATCCACTACACCACCTAGTTAGCCCCCTAGAATCCCTAGTTTCTTGCATAATTCAGCTCTTATGCCATCTCCTATGAGAGGTCTTATCCCACTTCCTCCATCTTAGTCCCTGCCCCTGCTGTTAATGTTCCTCCCAGCACCCTCAACCCATTACCTTGCATTCATTTTGTAAGTACTATGAGTTTATTTTTATCCTGATAGAATACAGTAAGCCACTTCAAGACAGGGAATTTTCACTTTTGCCATTATATCAATAGTACCTGGAACAGAGCAGGTATTTTAATAAATGTTTGTGGAGTAAAGTCTCTCCTGACCCCCTTTATTGTTACTCCTTACTTCTTTGAATTATCATGGACATACTTATCTTTTTCCATATTACATACCACCAGAAGATTATAAGCCCCTTGAGGGAAGGATCTGTTTTTTCATTATGTTTTCATATTCCCAGTGCCTACTACAGTAAATTGCACATAGTAGGCACTTAATAAATGCATTCTGTACTGGAATGGAAGAAATGAGTAGTAGTGCAGATAGATTAAGAAGGCATTTTATCTGTTTACTTTATATAAATAATTGAGAAAGCCACTATTTTCTCTGGAGCAGATATCTAAGACCCAAATGAGAAACTCCTGAGTCTTGTCAAAAGTGAAGAATGCAACCAAAGATGGCTATTCATGTGTGAAGAAATTGCAATTCAAGAAGGAACTTAGATACGCCTCGGGGAAGCCATGGAGAAGAAATAAGTCCCCATTAGACTACAAAATATTTATAACAGCACTTTTTGTGATAGCTAAGAATTGGGAAACAAAGTTGATGCCCATTGATTACAGAATGGCTAAACAAACTGTGGTAGACGGATGTAATGGAATATTCCGGTGCTTTCAGAAATCATAGGGATGGTAAATCCAGAGAAGCATGGAGAGTTTTATACAATCTGATGCAGACTGAAGCAAGCTAGGCCAAGACAACAACACGCACGATGGTGCCAACAATATAAACGGAAAGAGCCACCACAAAACGATCAACAGCGGATGCTGAAACGTGACAAAGAATGAGAACAGCACCAAAGACTGGAGAAAAGACGACCCTTCCATTGCCTCACTTCTTTTGTTTTCAGACTTTTGCAGAATATTGATCAGTTTCGTTGACTTTTTTCTCTTCTTTTTCTTTAAAAATATTACCGTCACATAGGATGGCTCTCAGGAAAG